AGAGTAGCTATGATATTGTTAAATACCTTTATTTAATCTCTAATTTACAAGGTGAAGATGTTTATATAACTAGATGTTTTTCAGATATATATTCTGTTCTGCTTCTTAAAGCTGAATTATATGGATTAATAGGAAAAGTGTAACTGTTCATAATTTTCCTCTACATAAATGCTAGTATGTACAGTTTTAAAGTATGTCCGAGTATTAAACTGTAATTTAAAGGCTATAAGAAGCAAGACAAAATCTTCTGATGGTAAATGATAATCAGACATCAGATTTTGCTTTTGGTAATCATTTGCACTTTGTTAATTTCATAAATTACAGGCCAACTTCTAGCATAACTAGAAAAGATTGAGAGCTGCACATGTTTGAGTTCCAAGTTCCTTTATCGTATATGACAAAATTATTAGGAGGGGAGCTTCTGAAGCTGGGGAAAAAAGCTTATTACTACAAGACCAAAACATTATATTCAATGGCTGCTTCAGCTGACCTTGGTTAAAGCTTTAGTCAGCTTAGTGACATATAAACACACCACTCTTTAGGTAGGAACTGTCTAGAAAGTTGAGCTCAGCATACATTTCTGCAGTCCAGTTTTGTTTGAACATGCTTGATTTTAGGCATATGCTTCCATCCTGTTAATTTGTACTTGGGGTTTTTAATCTATCTGCAACTTCACAGGTAGATAAATCCTATATTCTAGAAAATAGAGATGGACATGAACAAATACTGTCACATTTGGCTTTAGCTGCTGCACATTTCTTATAGCATTAAAAAAAGGGTAACAAATGATAAATTTACCAATGGCCTAGTCTATTAATTATTTGTATATTATTTTGATGCTGAAGCACTTACTCAAACTGCCTTGTGCTGCACTTAAGTTTGAGGAGTAAATAAAATAAGTATGTTCCATTTTAACTTACGTTAATTTGAAATGTGTAAGAACATCAGGCTGGTTCTGAGACTTCATTCTTTAATTAATGTTCCCCAAAACTTTTTTAATACCTATGTTAAAATTTATTTCAAGCATGTATGTGTTTTTCTTGTTTAATTTATTCCCTGCAAATAAAGAATCGGGGAATGTTTTCTTTGAGGAGATTTGTTTAAATGTTATCAAAAATATTTGAATGCAGAGCATGATCTGTTACACTTCAACTCTTCTGTGTGACTATGTAATGGCAGCAGAATAAAACTGGAAAGTATCCACAGGATGCTCCTGTTCTGGTTGGTTTTTTTTCTTTAAATTTAACAAGTGGCTAAGCCTACTTTTTTGTTACATTTGATATTGATTTAAGATTTCATTTTAGTATATTCTTTACAGCTAGACAATTCCTCAGAAGTGCTGCTCTACAGCCTTCTCTGAGCTCTAAGTACTAACTTTGCTGTTATTTGGACAAAGCCATAAAAATCAGTGTCTTTTGCCTCAAAGGTTTACAAAGCAATTCATAAGCTTGTATCAGATAATTTCCTCTGGCTAAGGAAAATAAAGCTAAAATTATAATTGTTTAGAAGCACTACCTATAATTTTAAAACAGTCAGAAAAATCAACAGAGAACCACTTAATGCTTTTCACTGAATAACTGTAGTATGAACACTTTTGTAGGATCATGGTCCTGAAAGCTTCTTACAAGCACAGATAACTATACACATGTGCATGCCTAACTACATACCCAAAACATTTAAAATACAAAAAAAAAAATTGACATTCTCATAACACTTACCTACATTGTTCTTCTTGAAGGGGGGTTAGAGGTACATTTAGTGTAAGTAAGTCTGCAGACAACTTAAAAAAAAAAACAAACTATTTCTACTCCCTTTTAAAGTTTATTTCAACCAGTAACACATGTAGGTCTGAACCAGTGAAAGTCTTACTCTCTGGAAGATTCATTGCTTTATCCTAACCTTGTCATACACACTTTGAAGTGCTCATCCAGTATCCCGAGGATGTGCTTTGTTCTCCTAGTGCTAAGTCCCTGCAAGAAGTTATTTTCCTTACACCTGATGCTGGTCTTGAAAAAATGTTAACTTCAGTCTAAGAATAACAATCTTTAAAATGAAAACAAAATACTAATGATGCTTTTAAAATAAAGTAAAAATCAGATTTCATCACACTCCCCCAATGAATGACAGTCCTTCAAAAAATTAGTTGGTGAGAGAATATTTTCCTTTTAGCCCAGCTGTCTAAAAGTGAAGTAGCAAGGCTATGACTGAATGCAGTCCAGTGAACAAGGTCAGGTTGAAAAGGCAGGGCAAGTTATGAAATATTGCCATGCTCTTATCCCCAGGACCTCTGGAAATCACCTGGTTTAAGCCCTTACTCGCAACAGGGTCAAGGTGGAGCTGGTTGCTCAGGGCCCTGCCAGGCTGAGTTCTGAACACCTCCAACAACAGGGATTCCACAGCTGCTCCAGGCCCTGTTTCTGTGCGACTGCCCTCACGGTGAAGCTTTTCTTCCCCCAACACCTAATTGCAATTTACCTGCTGGCAGCTTGTGTCCGGTGCCTCCCATCCTCTTGCTACGCACCTCCAAGCAGAGCCCGGCCCTGCCTTCCCCATACTCTCCCTTTGGGTAGTTGTGGACTGCAGCGTGATCCCCCTTTATCCATACCTTCTTAAGGCCAAACAAGCCCAGCTCTCTCTGCTTCCCCTCCTACATCGTCTGCTCCAGCCCCCTGGCCATCTTGGCGACCCTCTGCTGGACTCGCCCCAGTATGTCCATGCCTGTCCTTGCACCAGGGAGCCCAGAGCTGGACACAGCGCTCCCAAGGCAGGCTCACAAGTGCTGAACAGGGGCCAATAACCACTTCCCTCAACCTGCTGCCTACGCACTTGCTGAAACAGCCCAGAGTGCTCTCAGTGTCCTTACCACAAGGGCACACTGCCAAGCTGGGTTCAACTCATGTCTGCAAGAACCATCTGCCCCCACCCAGGTCCTTTTCTGCAAAGCTGCTTAGAAAGAAACCACTGTCCCCACCCAGACCGTTGTTCCACCCCAGGAGGAGGACACTGCATTTGCTTTTTTTGACTTTTATGAGGTTCCTGTGAGCCCACTTGCCTTACAAGTCAAGGTCCGTCTTAATAAATGTTTAGACCTAAAACTTCCAGCTGCTTGCTTTAATAAGTATTTCCGAATTAAAGGCAGAAGAGACATTTCTTTGAAGAAATGTCAGTATTCCTAGATATTTTTAAACTTTTTTACTAAACTTCTTATTGCAAGTTTTCAGACAGTATTCTGGTGCCTTATAGATTTTCCACTGTTCTCCCTAAATAAGGGGAACTAAAATAATGACAACCACCACCACCAAAAGTAATTTCAGGAATGCTTTCATCTAGCTCAAAAGCTACTTGATTATGGTCCATTTTCTGATTTGGACACAGGAATAATGAGATCTACCCAAGTGGTCATGACCCACTCTCTCTCTATCAAACAGCAACAGAGCTAATAAACCTTACTGAAATCACCATGCTGACTTGCCAGGGGCATTATTTGGCCAGATTAAACACTGGGCTCCAAAAGGGTTATTTTTAAGTCCCGCTTAGCTGTGGCTAATCAAAACCTATACATTCATAGATCTTGCTTCGCCATGTGCCTTGTAACCAGGTAATACAGAAAGAACACAGATGCTGTAAGGAGCTCTCTCAGGTCCAAGAAGGCTATTAGTCTAGAGCTTCTGGAAAAAAGTGGGGTGGCACTTAAAAGTTGTATCTTCTTAAATTCGTAACCATAGGTTACCACATAACTCCAACTCAGCTCTTTTCCTGAAGACATGAAACCTCTCAACTCAAAATTTCTACTCTTCCCTTTCCCCACCTAGCCCTCTCCATCTTCCTTCTCCTACAGGACCCACATACTGTTACTTCAAGTGCCAAGCTCACTCATAAGAACAGTTGTTCATGTAAGCAAGTCATCCAGGTTCATTTGTGTGGTTTTGCAGGTCACCGATCAAAGTACTGAATACCAAAGACTTCACTAAACAGAGGAATCAATACACTGGACTGTAGGAATTACGCTGTAAGCAATCAAAGCGAGACATTAGGACTATTTTTCTAGAATACAATGGTCAGGACATAGTCTTAAGCATCTGGAAGGTATATGCCTGAACACTTTATTCAGTTACCTTTTATCTAGTTAGCCAGTTTCTACCCTTTATGAGCATCTCTGTACAGGAATTAGAGCCCAGATCAGCTGTGTTTTTAATCCAATAGCATCAGGATAAGCACGACATCTTATTTACCTTTTAGTGTTGTCTTTCAGCCTTTCCCTCCATTGTAGAATAAACTGGAATCTTGTATCAGATGCAGCCAGACTGGTATGGATTAGCAGTGAAACAGCTCAGACATTTCTTCTCTGTTGAAGACTACATTGAGTTGTAGTCAAGATATTTAAACAAAGTATTTGAAGGATGTAGAGTTCATTTCCATTCCATCTGCGCAATTCCAAAGTGCCAAGTAATGCATATACACAATAAATAGAAGTATACTATCCTTTTGTAAGTTTTCATTAGAATTTAGACTATAAAAAAAAATGTTTATACTTGGGAGTCACTCATCTTAAAAACACTTCCTGACTCACATAATTAAAACTGACTTGTATATTTACGTAAAAATCATAAGGCAGTTCAAGTATTTGTAGAAAATCCATCCAAAAACTCACGAAAACTTGACACACATATCTTACTGCTTTTAAGCGGGACTTGGAAACTTTTGATGGTTTTGATTTCAAATTAAGAAGTGTTCTTTATGCTAAGATACTTCACAGAAAATAAAACCAAAACCAAAACCAAACCAACCTCACAGAAGACAAAAAAAAAATCTTACCCTGGTACAAGGACATACATTTCAGCAATAGTATCTTTAATGCAGAGAAGCCTTCTAAATCAGGCTTGATTAGTTTCTACCAGATGAGATAAAGACAACAACCTTGTTTCTGTATAATTTTTTTTTACTATACATTTAAGCAAATGTTAGATCATCAAAATTGATTTACATTTTTGTGAAAGACATTTATTGAATACAAAAAACCCCCCATTACATTCAGCCTTATTATAAATGATTACACGCAAAGAAATTCAAGAAGTGTGTGAAGATTAATAGTCTAACTGGCTGAACATTTCCAGAATTTAGATCATTTATGAACCCTTATTTCTCAACTGTACAATAATAAAATTCAAAAAAATATGCTTTGTCTTTCCAGCAATACTACAGTCAGAGGGATTCCGTGCTCACTGCATTAATGGCAGCCCACACTTTGGCAACGATTAGTTTCATGATTTTAGGTGTAGGACTTCCCATATTAACAACAAGGTGTATGTAGAACAGAAACCTGAACAACAAAAATTTATGCAAAGACTTCACTTTGATCCAAAAAGCTGCAGGCTGAAGTTCAAGACTGCATGCTTAAAAGTACCACTGTTCACATTGAGGCACCAAGGCTCAGGTTCAGAAGAGCTTTCCCGTACAGAAGAGAGCTTAACAACACACATCAGCGCCGTCTGATTCAGAAGCCCCACTGTGGGCTTCTAAAGCTATCGAGCCTCCCAGCTGTACATCTTGGATACCCACTTCTGAGATGCTAGGCCATCAAGTCAAGACACTGAAGTACAAGACTTTTTGCAAAGTGAACTTTAGAAGTTTTCCCATAGCCTTTGGAGGGATTTTATTCACTATGTCAAGCCATTGAAACAAATGTATCTGTAGTCTTTTGTACAAAGTTAAACGCTGAAAAGCTTAAGTATAAAACTACAGTTTAGTTTCTGTACAAGGTAGGATGGGACAAACATCGTAGAACCTCGACTTTTTTGCAGTTTCATGAAACTTCTGCATACTACTTTTCATCACAGCCTCTCTGCTGGATATTGACATTTCATGTCATGAATCCTAAGATAAGATTAAAAAACTGATTTGCACAAAAGAAATCTGAAATAACTTTATATACACAACAGAAAGCCTTTTAAAAGTACAAAAATAACATCTATATGCCAATTAGTTACCATGCTTTGACAGTTCTCTCAGTGCCTACACATGCAAGACAGTAATCTAGATTTAGAATAATTCTGCATCTGTAGAGTGTATCAGAATATAAAAGACATTAACATGTGACTAACTCTTGTTATTTTCAGAATGGATATGTATTCAAAATATCTTTATAACCAATACTGCAATATTCGAGTCTCTGCATGTACATGTGCAGATAAGCAGCTTTCATCTTTCTTGATTTTAAAATCTCCTGCAAGCTAGTAATCCACACTAAAAAGCTACAATGGTTCTAATGAATCTAGTTATACAAAGCAATTCAAAAATGTACAAAAGCTATAAAAAAGGGAACATTTATTGCCATGCACGAAACTTAAGTATGTCCAACTAAAAACTGCATCAAATGCAGTTTTGTTTTGTTTCAAAAAAAAAAAAAATACACGAAGCAATTTACATCAACATTCTTAACATTATATCAGCAGAATCAGCTCTGACTAAATACCACAAGGGTAAGACACATTCCTTTTGCTGGTGCCTATCAGATCTTCAAATCCATGGGAACATAAAACCAGGAATCTTCATTTCCCACAGTCAAATCAGATCATGAAATCAACTGAAATGAGAAGTGTATTAGTTTTCTCTCCTTTCTCTCAATCCAGTTACATACAGCCTCTCCTTTTGCATCAGACTATCGAGAAAATACACTACTTTTGCTATCACAAAAAACCAAGAACATCCCTACAAGCAGACAAATTGCTCTCTTATGCCTTTGCTGATAGGGACACATGTATGCACAGCACATAGACATAACTATTTCTAGATAGCCACATATCAACATCTGCAAATGAAGCCACAGGAGAAAGAAAAGTTACTTTATTAACTGCACTAAGTGAACCTCACTTCTGTAGTTCCATTTTTAGGTTTTGGGCAAAAGTAATTAATCTTGAAAATTTTCTTACAAATTACCAACCACAGACTGGACAATAAACCCTTTGTCATGAGTAGATTGGATCAGGCCTAATCCTGAGTGCAGCAGACTCAAAGGCAACATTATAACTGTGCTACCAGAAGCACATACAGAGAAAAGCTAGCTATCCTCTTTTGCCCTCTCTCACTGCCAAAGCTTGCAGCTCTGCAGAGCTTGTACAGCCTCATGCATTGTTACCTACGAATGTATGTGGTCAGTGCATGAACTATAGCGGTCCTTGCAGTCAAGGCTGTAATTTAAAGCAAATGCATAGCTTTAAGAGAGTAAAAGTCATCAAAAGTTAAAACAGCTTTAATTTGAGTTCTGCTTATCAAAGAAGTTCCTAAGAGTAGCAGTGGCATGCTAAGAAAACAGAGTCTGAAGCAGTTACCTTTGAAAGAGGGATGCAAAAGAAAAAAAAAAAAAATCAGAGCCAGAGTTCAGGTTTATCAGAGCACTAAACTTCCAATACTATATAGGAGACTATTAAAACTAGTGTAGCAGGACACCATGCCACTTTCTAATAGACTGAAGAAAAAAAGACCCAACCCAGAATGTTTTCTAAATGATAAAGTCTTTACCTCTTTGACTGTTTTTTTAATGAAGTCTTTCCTGTCAGATAAATCATAACTAGGATAGTTTTCATACACCTAAAAAAAAAAAAAAAAAAGGGTAAAAAAACCCCCAAACCTCAAATTACTTTCATTCAATGTATTGTACGAATAGAAGGAGCTTAAATGAAATTAGGGCAAAAATTGGTGTGGTACTTCTAGTATTACAACTGCCAAAATACCCTCTGTTTATTATGGACAGTGACAAGCTTATTTTCCTGTCCTTATTTTGACCACATAAATGTTTAAATACATGTAATTTTTGTGTTTGGTCACTGAATAAACTAGTACTATAAACTTTTTACATCAACTTGGAATGCCTTGCCATGTCAAACAAATAAGAATTCTCTAATCTTTGTCTTACATGCTCTCTAAGTAGCCAGTTACCCCTGCATTAGTGTAGGGAGCTAAACAAGTATCAAATCCCAAGGTTTATTTATGTTTTGGTAATAAGTAAAATTGTGATCAAGTGACTAATAGAAGAGTCAACACATTTGAGTGCTATTCTACTACTGTTCTTTGGTTAACTGGGTGGGAGAGGACCAAACAAACAAAAAACAGATGCCAACACTGACAACCAATGCAGAATATTTTATTTCAGTATACCAAATTTCAGACTTCTAGAATGACTATAAACATGACAAAGAGTTTGTACAGAATATAAACATACAGTTTTCTCATAAGAATAACTTTAGTTTAATTTTCTCAAGACAAGTTCTTGGAACTACCAGGAAAACAAACATGCAAGTTAACTGACTGTAGAAAATGTCAGGGTAACAGTATTGTCTGTGTTTTGGTCACTTTCCCCCACCTTTCCCTTTTCCAGCCACACATGGTCCCCTGGCACCTGTCATGAGAATTCATTGATTCCTTGTGAACTGATTCAACTCACTAACTCAGCCGAGAAATATTCAGTTTTTGCTGACAGATGAGAGTTGAATAGACTCATAAAGAGAACACATGAAGAATGAGAGCAAGGTGAGCAGGAGAAATGTACAGAGTGGGACATAGCCCTCCCTTTTTTGACAGTAGCAAGCTGCTGCACCATTTCAACATCTCAAATATTTTCACTTTAATATATGGCAGTTGTTTTGGAGGTAATACTGCTACTTTCCATGTAGCTAATTTTTCTTTGGAGATTTCCCTTCTAAGCGTTTGGTATGAGTGTTGCATATCTTAAGACTAAAGCTCTCCTTCTTACAGCTGTTGGCAAGTAAATAAATCGATGCAAAGCTACTTTGTGCAGAGTGCAAGCTTCCATTTCTGAAACCATGACAAAAGTCAGTTCACAGACAACCTTCTGCCTAAAAAGATTGCAAAATCATGTTTGCTTACCTCCTTGCAAATTTGTTTCATTGTGACCTCCTCCAAGTTTGCATTGGCCAACAAGTTCTTGACAGTTTCCTTAAGCTCTTCATCTGTAGGTGGTTTCTTCAGCTTTTTAATTAAAGGTTCATCATCTGAACTATCCTCAGACTCGCTTTCTAAATATGAAGAATAATTTGATTTGCCATAAAAGATTTTCAATTTGTCTGCTTTCTTCCTCCAAAACAGAAGCCACCAAGACTTCCCCCAAACATCTGATGCAGATGTTCTCCCTTAAAATAGACATCTTGCCACATCACCCAGTAAAAACAAAGCCAATGCTATCACTACTACATTTATTTACGAATCCACATAATTGTTGACGAACTATCAGTTTACAAATAAATATGTAGTGTAGAAAGTATGGGACAGATTAAATTAATCTATCAAACTAAAAAAAGATTTATTACAGCAATTCTAACCCGAGATATTATGGCCCTAAAAAACCTACTTATTTGCGTTAAAAAGGAGTTTGGATTTTTTTTTTCCCCAGCAGCGCTGCCCACTAGGATCTTGTAATTTTGCAAAGCTGTATTACTGAACATGCTATCAGAAACACCATGAAACCAAATGAAGAGAATCATAAAGAAAGTTAAGTGAAGAGGTACGGGACATTCCTACAATCTTTTTGAGCAGCAAAAAAACCTAGACAGAGTGACTCCAACATCCACTCAGCTCCTCTGCTGCCAACAAGACAAAATCAGAGCAGATGCCAAAGAATCTACATAATCAGCTTACAGAAAGACCTACTTAACGGTTTGATTTTTGTACTGCAAACATATACTCAAAACAGAAATGCAGTAGGAGTAAAGAAGAAATTATGCACCTATTACATAAGATATATGCAGAACACATATGTAACTTTTTTAAACACACATATATATGTTGATGACAAAATAAAGCATCCAAACACACCACAGTCAGCCACATTAGTACTGCCAGCAGGCAATCTGAAAATACACCGACTTCAGAAGAGGCAAGTTTACTCTGCTGAGAAATAAAGCTATGAAAGAAGTTCAGCCTAATTCTATGCCTAAGAGCATAACCATTCCTTTTCTTAATAAACTGACAAGCAGGGTAATTTATCAGAACTGATGTGTGTGCTATTATAGCATATATATGCCGATGTTGGCATTAAATGAAGTATCTTTGCAATATGGATATATGCTGCATTAATAACTCATACTACAGTTGTGACAGAGATGTGGGTGTTATCTCAGAGTGCCACAGAATTTAACGTGGAGAAGGACCTCTGGAGATCACCTGGTTTAAGCCCTTACTCGCAACAGGGTCAAGGTGGAGCTGGTTGCTCAGGGCCCTGCCAGGCTGAGTTCTGAACACCTCCAACAACAGGGATTCCACAGCTGCTCCAGGCCCTGTTTCTGTGCGACTGCCCTCACGGTGAAGCTCTTCTTCCCCCAACACCTAATTGCAATTTACCTGCTGGCAGCTCATAAACTACTTCTGTAATTAAGAAATTTTTCAATTCACTGTATATGTCCCTGTGGTGATTTTGTATATGTCAAGAAAAATATATATGAACATATACTTAAAAAACCTGGCAAAATAAAAATAGACCATAGAATAATTGATATGATGAACACATTCTTAATGGAATGAAGGGATACAATCCTTAAAAGAAAGCCTTCCCAAGACCAACAAAAGAGCATTTATATTTATATATATAAAGCGCCTATGACCATATTGATAAACATTCTTTGGAACCACTCTGATGGCAGAGGTAAGAACAGGAGTCAGCCTGTTGGTACCTCAGCACTTCTGTTTCCAACCAATTAAAATAAAAAAAAAAAAAGCCACAAGACTTTGCTGCCAACCTGCCTGGCTGGTGTTTAATACTGCTACTCCAAGGGCACACTGCCAAACTGGGTTCAACTCACGTCTACAAGAACCATCTGCCCCTACCCAGGTCCTTTTCTGCAAAGCTGCTTAGAAAGAAACCACCTGCACTGCTGCAATCTTTACCCAGGTATTAAGGAACTCGATGTATATATATATTCACCTTTTATGCAGATGATCAGATATGAGAAAACCAATAGCAACAAGACATATGTAGAGCCCCTATCTCTGTTAACAAAAAGCACATCAAACTGCTAAACAAGACACATACACAGTGGGATATATACTACTGGATCAATGACAAGATCCATGTGAAGTCACTATAAAGGCACCAACAGAATTTTGCCAATGTTCTTCCAACAGAAGGGAGAACTAGGCTGATACTTTTAGTTTATGTGCAAATAAAAAGTATATATGCGTATACAATAAAACTTACGTAAAGTATACCCAAACCAAGAACTGTTTTAATTACTGTTGCAAGGAAAGAAACATCAAGTAGCAAGCCAACAATTCACCAAATTCTATTTGCTTTCACAATGAGGTGCAAAATGCTTTCTAATAAGCAACCCAGTTAAGCTACAAGACAACATATGATGGAAGATTTAAAGCATTTACCTTTTCTAGAACTGTTCTGATTTTTTTTAGTAGTGCTGCTATCTGCCTTCTTGACATTCGCACCCTTCACAGCTTTCTTGGTTTTGGAAGTCACCTTTTTAGATTTTTCTCTTTTAGATGCTTTTCTAGGGGGCTATAAGGGAGAAAAACAACATTTAAATAATGGTTTCTACCCTAACAATCCGTTCCACAATGAAAATTAGGCTTTCTGTCTATACAAACTAAATCAGCAAATTTAATTACTATATTTCACTAGCAATTTCTACCCCTACACCATAGGGGGAATGTGTCCACAAAGAGTACTCCTACATTATTTTAAATTTCACATTGAGCTTAAGAGTCCATGTGAAGTACAAGCAGTTAGAACTTTTTGATGATACTAGTAGTTTGGTTGTGCTACAACTTCCCGTTCATAATTACTTATAATTAGCTTATAAAATAACTTTCAAGATGTTCCTTTAAAAAAGGACATGGTATGTTGTATTCAATTACTTCTAGATACTATAGCTCTCTAAGACTACACATAGCTATTTCTTTTTGCCCTACATGAGAACTACATTAGCTAATCCATTATTTCCAATTATTGTGACTAGTAAACCCGAAAAATTATTGCATTAAGTTAACATCAACAGAAGAAATTGGGAACATAAATACATACAGTATACACATATCAATGCACTGCATTTTTGGCATGAATTAAATGTGTGTTTAACAAACAAAATCATTAGGTAGTATTCCGACAGGGCTGAAAATTTCCTCACAGAAACAAACATGCAACACTGACCAGAAACAAACCATCCTTCAGAGAAAGAACATCATAAACCAAAACTAACTAACAGTAGTTACTAAATTCATAATCCTAATTTATATTTAAAATGACAGTGTCGTCAACTGAGCAAACTATCACATCTAAACAATTAAGATTAGTTTGTATGACTTATCTGGTGCAACTCATGAAAGTGATATTTAATAAACCAGATTGCATTTATTTATGTTGGCTTGGTCAGTTATAGTTGCAGTCGCTCTGCAGTATTAAATGAAGGACAAAGACTTTCACTCCTGAAATTCAGAAAACACACTCAAGGATCACCCCATTTCTAAAGAAATGTTTGTAGTTTCTAACTTTCAGCTTTTGAGTTTCTGCTAAAGCTCCACCACCAACTACAAAGTCAGAAGTTAAATCTAGCACTCACATTTCATTTTTTTTATAAAATTGTGCTCCTCCAGCACACAAAAATATTTCAAGATATCTTTTGCTTCCAGGTAACTGTAAGATTTTTTTTTGTTTGTATTGTTTAAAGAAAGAGAAGAAATCAAGAGAGATATGCAACTCTGACTACAATCTATCCCAGCTATTCCATGCCTAAAATTCCAATGCAGCTGGGGCAGCAAAGCAGATATGCTGCCTACATCTTTCTACCTGCAGTATGTTAAAGGGCGTCATAAACCTTATCTTTTTTTTTTTTTTTTTTAAATGTTGCAATCTTAAAGCTGTACAAATGCAGACATATCCCATTTCACCACTTCCTATATTCAAACTATTTTGACATACTAGTGTTTTTGTAACAATTAAGCTTTTACTCCATGCAAGTCAACTTCAGTTTCTGAAGACTTCAGTCTACTCAGCTATTGCCTGGCAGACATATATGTTTGTTTGTTGGGGTTTTTTTCTTTGGTTTTTTTTAATAACTGAGTTCTTGAAGAGTTTTCTAAAAGACAACTCCTGCCTCTGAAAGCAATATTCCCCTCCTTGCAGTAGGAAGACTGTATTGCTGAAGAGATAAACAAATATAAAATTAACTTTTAGTATTTCCACACTCTGTCAATTTGCCATTTGTAGGGTTTTAAGGCAAACTACGAATTAAGTTTGTTTCATGGAGGCATAGGGAATTTCCTTGAACCACATTTTAAAATTTAAACCAACACCTATCAAAATGACAGTGACAAAATAAACTGCTAAAGTTACATAAATTGGCCTGTCAACAAAAGATTTTTGTTACTATTTTCTATAGCTCAGGCTATTTACTTAACAGCCTCTGTCACACTTCCACTGCAACAGACAGAATGTAACCCAAGTAACTAATGGTCTTACATTACAGCCATAGCTGTTCCATAGCTTACATAAACAATTTCCTTGGACACAAACAGTCAACTAATTGCTGTTTGTTGCAGGGCTCTGATTAGGGCTAAAAAGACAGTCCCATCTAAATCAAAAGAAGATATTGTAGCTCCTTTTAATTTCTTTTTTCCCAGGCTTCAGGCATATGGACAAATCAGTGTACACTTTGTATACCAATTAGCTGTACACTTGTACTGGCTCTCCATGTACTTTGTCTATTCTGTGACAAAGTACAGGACTGAAAGGGAATGCACAGGGAAAGGTATTTTGCATTTAAATACAAAATTAATCTCATTTCTCTCTTACTCTGCAAGGCTAAAAGAAGTTTCAAAGAAAACAGAAGAACAGAAATACAGTGAGAAGAGCATTCTTTGGAGATTCCAGGGATCTTTGTAAGGCTGCTTACTACGTTGCTCACTTTATATTTGTGATCCAAGAACCCTAAAAGAGACCCTAAAACACAGAACCCTGAAAGATAGATTAGGACATAAAATTCAGGAAAAATATGGAACCAAGATCCAAAAAACAATACAGCCAGGCAGGTCAGGGACCTCTCCTGAATTAAAAGCTGTGTCCTAGGTATCACAGAATCATAGAATCGTTTAGGTTGGAAAAGACCTTTAAGATCATCAAGTCCAATCAAACCCTACACAGAAAAAAAGATAGATAGATATTGGGAATTTTTATGAAATTACATTAATAAATTCATTACAAGATGATACAAGAAATGCAATCAATTATGTTTGAAATCCTGGGTTCCCCAAAATGAAATATATAGCAAATAGTTTTATAAAGTGCAGATATACATCCAAGAATCAAAACCTTCGCCTCATCTTATTGATTCACTAACTTTAATGCACTAAAATTATAAAAATATCTTATAAATTGCAGATGTGTTCCCATTTCTTTCATACCATTCATTCAGTTAAACATCACTTACGCCCAACTCTGCACATTCCAAGAATTATCTATCGATAACAACCACATAGTGACAAATGTTTTTAGCACTGTGTTGAAAAACACACAGAAAACCTCATTACCTCATCTTCACTCTCTTTTTCTTCTGAAGAGTCATCCTTTTCCTTCTTTTCATCTTCTTCACTACTGGATTCATCTGACAAGATCTCTGGGCACTTGGTGCGTTTTGCTTTTCTTGTTGTTCCAGTGCTACTGCGCTCTTTTTTGCCACCTTTGCTTGGTGTTTTTTTCGACTTTGGCAATGGCTAAGAGACAGGGATGTGTGTTATCCAGTAGGAATACAAAAGTGAATTTTAAAAATATAAACTTCTTCAAATTACATGACAGAACAGTAAACAAATTTAGAGGTTTCTAAGCCTTGATAACAAAAATCAGGATGATTTTATGTAGTACACTTAATTTTGTAACATTTCCACTGTAAGCAGAAATTCATTACAGAGATGGAGCAGAGTAAAATGAAATTTCAGTTTTAAGCTAAAAACCCAAACAAATCTTCAAAGGTTGGTGGTTAGGGAAGGGAAGCAAGACAGAACAATCTGAAAGGAACCTTTCACCTACCTATGCCCTCCTAGTCGATAAAAGCAAGCTTTTTCTTCTGGTAACAAATTAGCTGACAACTCTTCAGAAGACTTAAAGGCAGGAATTCAGCCATGTCTTATGCAATGCTGCATTTTGTTGTCACTCAGTACCAGTGTCCTTAAGGCAGCGTGCATACGCCTTGTTCACATCACTTACCAGTGTTTGCTGGGAATAAATTTAATTTCTTGAGCAACAGTCTAACTATTTAAGTGTTGCTTTTAGATTAAAAACTGAAATTAAGAATAGATTTTAGTAGCCTTGGCAGCTGAATCTAGTACACTAGCATATACTAGTGAAAGCAAGTTTTCCTAGCCTTACAACAAAATCCATTTTGTGTGACCAAATGTGACCACATACACTTGTCAACTTGTCGCATACTGAGGCAACATCTGACTGCTTATTTTCCTGTCCTTTCATGTTTTATTTCCTTTCTCTGTATCTTTTTTTCCCTTTTTCTTTCCTGCTTACATATGTCTATTCCTCCCCATTCATCCACAAAGCAGAAGCTATTTATGGTATTTGGGTATGGATATCTCTATTTTCTAATTAACTTCATGTGTTGACAACATAGGCATTGTTAGTGCACAGGAATGTAACGGGTGCACTTACATGTAAGCATATGGTTTCTTTCTAAGTTCTCACCCCATTATGGATGCCTGCAGGAGAAGAGCTACTCTCTTTCCAGAAGCCATTGCAACTTCAGGAAGTTAGAACAGTAACTGTATCACCACTGGTAACAAGCAAATAATAAGGAATAGAGGCAGCTGCATTTTTCATCAGAACAGAGCTATAAAAGCAAGCATAACAACCTGCATCTCACCTTGCCTGAAGATTTTGGGTGCATTAAGAAGTTTAAGATTCTGGTCACCAGCTCACTATTAACTCCTGATCTTTCCAAGTCGAGAACTTCACAGATACTTTTCAACATTGCATTTCTAAATCTGGAGAGGAAAAAAAAAAAAGAAAAAAAGATTCAGTATCACATCCAAAACAATCGGTCAACATTTGACTGCTAGAAGCTATCTGGTTTGTGTCTGCAACCTAACAATAGACATGAATATATACACTTAACTACATTTCCAGTCTTAGCTATAGTTAAGCAAAGAACCACCACCATATTACATAAAGCAAAATAAACCAAAATTCCCAAATCATTGTGTGTGTAAAGTAGGATATATTAAAAAGATTATAAAGTCTTAGTAAAAAGATCTTCCTCAGAATCTCTCCTAATCTACCACATTGGAAAGAATTAGTCTTGGAGAATAAATTTAGTGGGTACAAGACTTGAACACTAATGGGGCAGGGGCTCTCCCCTTGTTTTCTCTGGTTCCTTACCCCTTTACAGAAGTAGTTCTGATGAAGATACAAGGTTAAGAGAAACTCTGACATCCACCCCCTTTACTCCAACAGGATCTCGAACCAATTGTCCCACTTTATCATTTGTCCCACCGGTATTGAAAAAAAGTGGAAAGAAAGAGTCAAATCCTGTGAGGGTATGACATCAGAATGCAAGCTTAGTGAGATTTAAAAAAAAAAAAACAAAAAACAAAAACCAAAAACCACCAACCAAAACAAAAAACCCATCACTCTCCCCCCTACTTATTCTACCTATTACCTCCCTTCAAATGCTTATGCTTTCCTGTTTGCTCATTTTGTACAATGCTGCCCAAAAGGTGGGTTTCATTATTTGACCATTTTTCACAAGTTTAATAGCTATTTCTGGTAATCAAAGTCAAAGGAAACTTATTTTTCATTGTTTATTTAAAAGATCAGTGCAACTATTTCATGGTGGCCTGCAACTTCTTTAAAGTAGCATTTAATTTCAGACTGTCCATTTAAGTTCACAGACTTTTAAGGAGGCAGAACAATTTTGTTCTCCCATGTTTTAGGGCAGGAGAAGAGGAAATCTTAACTTGTCTGGTGTATCTCCCTGCCTCAAAGGAATGATGGTTCATCGACCATCCTTCCAATGATTAAGTCAAATCTTTCAATCATGTTTCTAGACAGGGTTATAAAAAGTTTGTGCAATCTTAACATGCGGAAAAGCCTTCCTGTTTAGCTTTTGGGGATACATTGAATACTTGCAAGCTATTCCTGCAGAATCAGAAGTCAATCTCTTACATTTTAAAAGACAGTAATACTATAGAGTTAAAAACACTTAACTTGTTAACAGATTTAAAAACTGTATAACATTGAAGTTTCTGTTTCAAACTTTTCAAGACCTTGTATACTGAATTTAGGATTTTTATGGTTCTATTGCTGCTTTAACTAAAATTCCTTATGACTTGTATTACACATGGCATTTGTCCTTGTATTTTAATTAATATAGCCTCCCAAATATTTTCATATTTTTAATGCTTTGAAGGTACATCTGCAGATAACAGCAAACATAACGTACTACTTCCACAGCAAGTAGTTCTGACTTACAAAATCCAAGAACTCAAATGCACACAGCAACCTCAACCCTCATTCTTTTCAGTTTATAACCTGAACAGTAAGATTCTGCAAAATAAATTTTGTCCTTTGTTCATATTGTTCAATGCTGTTCAAACATGATGACATGCAAGCGTACAGTGTGGGCAGAAATTAACCACGTAGTCAGAATAAATTAATAATCTAATCAGCAGTGTTTCATACATAGCTACGAAGAGCAACAGAACTTACCACAGTATCACAAGCACAAAGGGCTCAGTAGTTTGATATCAGAGCGATAACGCAACCAAGTTTTCAGAATATTTGCTGAAGACTGAAGGGTAACAAAACTTAACTAGCAGTTCTTTCATATGGAAAATATGGAAAAAATGTGGAAAAATATTTTGTGACCTTTTGCAGATAAGGGGAAGTATTATCCAATTAAAGCTGTGGGAAAGAGCCAAAACTCCCATCCTGAGACAGAGTTTGTCTTGTAGATTCACATGTATTTGACAAACCCTGTTCCTAGAAAACTGAATATGTGAGGAAGGAAGATTTGCAAATTACAAATTCTGGAAGCCTTCCCACTATCAGCAAACTGACACAAAAAAACAATTTAGAATCAATCCCGTAGAAGTTATCGGTTCTTTCATTTGTTACAACTAGCTGCACAAATATGCAAGCGCATCTTTAAATCCTTCCAGTCCAATCAAAACGAAGCTGCAGCAGCTTCTCCTGTTACTAGAGAAGCAGCTTATGTGGGGAGACAGTAAAAAAGAAAGAAAAAAAATAGAAAGAAAGAAAAAAAAAAAGATTTGTTAAGACTAGCTGCTACAGGAATTCTAGGAATAAGGCTGTATGTTTAATATACAATAAGCAGAAATGGCCTTGATTCTGAAGGAAGAAGGCTTTGAGGCATAGAAGGATGCAAATTTGCACCGTGAATAGAGCACAATGTATTCACAACACTATGCTTGCCCTGGGGAACGAGTCGTCTTCTCTCTTTGCAGAAGAATCTGCACATTTGCAAGCAACAGTTAAAGCCAGGACTGTAGGAATTGTGAATAAAATGTTCGCAATTTAACTCTTTTTAATACATTTCAAGTTGTCTTAAGAGATCAGTTTGTGTGATCAAAATGAGCTCAGAAACAGATCATAGAGCTCTAGGAAACAGTCACTCAGCTTAAAGTTTAAATTTAATCTGAAGTAAAATTTTGTAAATAAAAAGGAGTGTATAGCATGAGTCAAGATATGTTATGTAGCAATAGAGATCATTACTTTTTTAACATTTCTTCCTTCTTTTTGTATTGGTCACTTCCTTTTTCAAATGGGAACCCGCTGAACTGACCCACGTTCTTCTTCAGGGAAGCAACCTAGAACAGAACACAGAGATTACTTTCCATTGCAAGTAATTTAAAAAAAAAAAAAAAAAAATCACATTCCATTTCAAGCTTGTTTAGAACATACTGTGGGGTTATTTGCAGGTTTCCACAACTATTATCATATGAAGCCTGTTATGTGCTTTGTACCATGTAATGTACCATACAGAATAGTGCATTTTATTTTTACTATATAATCTGCTAAAGCAGATTTGCTTTATATGCTTTTCTGAAGTATTACATAGGACTCTGATTGTACTTTTGAACCTCTTCTTTAGCATGACCAATTTTTGCATTTACATACCATCCAATTTACAACTTCTACCATTACACCTGCAGTCTGAACAGGGTTGGACTTTCATTGCAACAGCCCTTATAATGGGAAAAATGCTCCCATCAACATCCCTAATATATTAAAGTTCTTTGTTTTCACTCCATCTTCTTTTACAAAAAAATAAGTTAAAAAGCTTCCCCAAATCTTTTATCCTCCTGAGATCTTTGTAACACTATCAAGAATAATTTGAACTCACTTTCAATAGTTCTACAAATTTTGTTCCTGGTGTTTCTCCTTTAGCTTATAATTTTACCAAAGCTAAGCTCCTTTTCCAAAGGTAAATATCTTTGCCCAGCACCTAAAGAAAATGTGCAGATGGTATTGGTATGTTTTATTAAAATGTTAATTATGATTCAAAGCGCATACAGAATGTGCATACAAGACAACATCTGATCTTCACTTCATAGAACAGCATTCTGAGCTCCCAAAAATTCTGATTAAATACAGTTCTGGATGAAACCATACTATTTCCAAACTGAATGTATTTTGAAGCAAATAAATATATTCTCATATCATTGGACTCAAACCACTGGGATGCTGCAGCAATCCAGCCAGACTCTCCAACAAGTTTATGTCCAAAAGACTAAATATTGGAGAATAGAGCAAAGGGGAATGGAATTGCAACCAAGTAAGTGGTGCCAGAGGGAAGGGTGACAGCTCCAAGAAAGATTTGCTATTATATTTTCTTTAAGTTTCATCCTTAAATACACAAGCAAGCATGTCAGTTTTTAACTAATATTTTAATTGTCTTAGACTATATCACTATTAAGATTTTACATATAATTTAGTTTTACTTTTTACTCTTTGTGCAAACTAAAGGAGAAAATGACTAGGTAACAATGTACTGAAACCCACTAACAGGTTTCAAACATAAAAGAAATAGAAGTACTAAGAAAAAGCTATGTTGAGCAAAATAACTACATGGAGTATTTTGACTGTAATCTGCATGTCAGCAGCTTTTAGCATGTGAACCATAAATTATTTCCAACTTCATAAGGTAAACCAGCCCTCCCCCCCCCCCCCCCCCCCCCCAAAAAAAATAAATCTATATTCAAGTAAACTTGCAATTCAGTACACCTTTCCATAGGATTATTATAGGGAGAGTAGTTTACAGGAGTTAGAAAAATTACAGGCTTGCTCAGCTGGTCCTGCAATATTCATTTTCTAAGCAGTTTTTAAAGAATGACAGATCCATACATGCAAATGTATAAAAACTATACTACAAACATTTTCACTATGCATGAGATCTAGTAGATATACAAGATGGATTTTAAGTTCTTACAGTGCCTGGCCTGTTGTAGAGGAGTTTATGCAGGTTCCTAAGTTCATCTGTCTTCTTTTTACTCAGAAAGAATTGTATCCTTTCAATTTCACAGAGTTTTTGTCCTTTTCCTGAAACAGTTAAAATCAATTATGCAATTAATCACATTCATTTTTACCTATGTATTTATAAATTCAAATAGCTACTGTTTTTTAAAAAAAGCGAAAAAGTTATTTGAGAAGAGCATCAGACATTATAATGGGTCAAATATTAAGCAGGCCTTTTCCCATCAATTAGGCATCCTGACAGTCTCTATCTTCTTTACCTGATACCACCTAGACCAGGGTACAGACTTGGCATTTCTTTTTATTCTAGCTCCTCCTGCCTTTGTTAGAAGTGGCTAGGTAATGAAGATCCCATTCCAGGCGAGTTTAAACATTTATATAAAACTTTTATGGTTTATGTTGATGCTACAGAATAAAAGAGGGCTTTCATATAATTATAATAGCCTTATACTATTTTAAAATGGATCACTACTCTTAAGACAGGTCTCATCTACTCGTTAATAATCTGATCTTTTAACAGGTTTCATTATCATTCCCAATACTCTCAATTCTTATGTGAGAGGACAAAAGCTTACCTGGTGTAATTGTAAAAGGTTCCTTTTGCAACGAGGACACTTGCATGGTTAGTCGGTCTACCTTTTTTTTCTCCCTTTTTCCTTCAACAATGAGACTCTTTTCTGCAAAAGACACCTTCCTTAAACACAGTATTTTTCCTCACATGAGCAGATTTGACTGTAGTGACAGGCAATACAACGCTGAATCTTTGAAATGGCAAACCAAAACCGATAATGATATAACCAGGTACTATGACACTTCCAAACCTCTGGCTAATAGGCCAATGGGATTCTATGGAGCTGTATATTGGAGTCTCTAGTTCTCAACCACAATCCTGCATCCAACTTAGCCTTGAAGACAAGACCAGGCATTTCCTAAAGGGAACTTCACCCCACGATGCAGACTGCAGCACTACGCATTTTCAGAAGCCCATCCTTCTCTCCCTTCGCTGCCTTTCTGAGGTACAGAACTGACATTGTTTGCATAGTCTCCTTCTGGGATGCCCCAGCCCCTACATGCACAGCTCCACTTTAGCCCTCTTGGGTACAACACTACCATCAGGTGGGCAAAAGGAGGCTCCAGCATGGCTGCAGACACTTTCTCTTCCCACTACTGGACTAGAGGGCCCATACGTATTAGCAGGAGAGGCAGAAGCACAAGTACAGTGGGACTGTACAACACCTCACAAGGCTACACAGTGCGGCACTCTGCAGGGCACAATACAAGTGTCACAAATACTACAAGAATACTATTCCCAGTCATTCTTGTACTTCTTAGTAAGGAATAAATTTAGGTTGTTTTATGTATACATTGCACATCACTACTTTAACGATACTATATCAGGAGAAAAAGCTTGTCCTAAACTTTTCATATTAAAATACTTGACCTCAAATCAAACTATCCTTAGCAGTAAACATATGGGCTATCCTGGCTTTAACATGTGAAAGCAGCTTCAAAATCTGCAGGAACAAAACGGGGTATGTATCTGATGAAAACAGCAAAACATACTTGTATGTACACAAGAAAAAGCTATTTCTAAAAATCTAATTCTAATTACTCTAGTTTCCCAAACAGCATAATCTCTTTTTCTTTCTACTACTTTTCCTAAAGACAAACTTCAGCTCTTTTAAGAATCCAAGATCATCAGTGACTTGGTTTTCACTGCGCCATACTGCAGCTCTATTTCCATGGATGCTTTCATTTGCAAAACAAGTGCCTAGAGATTTCATGATGGAAATTAATATTTTTACATAGTAGTTACTTCATCACTTCTTGTATTCTTTGACTACCCTCTTTGATTACATGCCATAACACAAAACTTGCCTTGCTTGCTCATCCTATACTACCACGATTTTTATTGACAAAATTAGTCAACTGGAATACCCCCCTCCAATACAATTAAATTTTGGTACCCAGTAAATTAATCCACAGTAGCTAACCAAAGACATCTGTATTGTTTCCAAAGCTACTGCACAGATTTTTCAAGTTTTTCTCTTTTGAAAACATGGATCACTTCAGAGTGTTACTGGCAAAAAAAAAAGAATTCTTTTCTGGATGTGCATTTTTATACAAATAATTTGATAAAGGACACTACCTCTTATGATCATCTAGTAGTTTATACAACAATGGCCACCACCCTGGCATAGGAATCCAGGATGCTGGCAATTCCTTCAGTCTTTCCTGAGGAACGTCAGTACCGCTGTTTCTAGTGTTGCCTGTTATAGTCTACTGGGAAGCAATTTATGACCCATGAGATAGACGTGCCATGGAATCTCTTAAACAATAATTGTACAATTAGTCGAGATCACAGGAGACTGCATTCAATAAGCTTGGCATTTTTTAAAGGACAACTTATTCAGTGGAAAAACACGTACCCTTTTCTTCCTCCTCCTCCTCTTCCTCTTCTTCATCTTCATCACTTTCCTCAGCTTTGTTTTCAGTTTCAGGTTGTTTCTCATCTGCTTTTTCAGATGACATTGTATCTTCTTTTGATGAAACAACAGAAGACATGGTGTACGGTTCTGTAAAAAGCAGTCAGGGAAACCATCGTCAATATAGCATTATACATGAAAAATACAGGAATCTTGCTTTTTAAAAAAAAAATCTTGTACAGCAGAAGTAATGTCATAGTGCTCACACTGTGATTGTTCACAGTCTTTAAGACACAAAAGTATTCTGCATACACACAACACACAAAATTTTTCAGGAGTTGCCATCTATCCTGCAACTAGCCTGGTTAAGACAATTTAAGAGGTTATCAATTCTTTCCACACACAAGTCTTCAAGCCTCCTTTGTGAAGTGTTCAGAAACACTCACTCAAAGCAGCTGATACCGTTATCTACTAAGAACTGTATTGTTTTAAGATATCACTATTTTAGTGCACCATATTATAAATAAAATAGTTATTTCTGACCACGGTTAACTATGCATGCAAGTTTCCTAATAAGTTAAAAAAGCTACATATTTAGAGGGGAAATGGGAACAGGAAAAAAAAATAATAGGAGCAATTTAGAAAAAAATTAACAGAATTCAAATAGCTGTGACATCTTAGGACTTGAAAATGCTTTTTGTTTGTTGTAGACCTGCAGATTAAAAAAACAGAATAAATGCTTCATACATAGCATGTTTAAGATCAGTCTTTTCTTAGCATCTGAAGTGGCTTAAACATTAACTTTAAAATATCTCACTTTGGCAAGTATCGTTTTCCTACTGACAGGGAATGTCTATCTAGCAAAGGAACCTGTTCATTTTAGAAAAATTCTAGCTTTCAAAATTTTTCACTGTTTACGGATCTGGAACAAAACACAGCATCAGCTGTATAAGCCCGTGTGGAAAAAATATCACATGATTAACCATTTCCTTTTTCCGATATTAAAGCCAATATTATCTGCAAGAGGTCAGATTCAATAAACAACAATGAAATCAACTGCTTATATGCAATAGCAGCAGGTGCCAGAAACCAGCAGCGCTCCAAATGACAGAAAACACGAGTTATATTACCAACAGTCAGGGGAAAAAGAAACTTTACTACTCTTTGCTAAATCATGGGGGGGTGTGGGTGGGAATCTCTTTCAGGGTATTACTACCAGTACTTCATTTGACAGAAAAATAATCCGACTTTTTCACGATATTACTCTCTGAATTTTGCTTGTCCGCACAAGTGAAAAACCAAGAGAAGTACTACATGCTGTCTTTCCTCCCCCTTTCAATGGGAGCAGAAGGAGATAGGAACGTAAGAGACTTTTTGGCTTTTCAGCAGGCAGATCCGTGAGGACAACTTGCTTAGAGAAAAAAACCAAAAAGAGTACTGGGATCCACCTTTGGGAAGCCTTAAATCGGGGCTATTTTCGGCCGGGAGAGGGTATCTCCATGCTGCCCCGAGAAAGATACTCGTGCACAACAGCACCTTCCACCGCCGTTCAAGACTTTTCAGCCACCGACTCGCCACCTGTCCCCTAGGTCCTAACTTGCGAGCCGGAGGCCGGGGAAAGCGACGACGATGGGTAGCGGCCCGGAGGAGCCGGCGGCCAAGGAGGAT